CAGAGGCTTTCTAGGAGCTTGGGGAGGGCAAAAATGGTTTTCTCCACCTCCCTTGGAGGCACTCCAAAGGCCGAAGGCCAGAAATGGCCCATTTCCCGACTTCCAGTGGGCCCAGAGGGCCTGAAAATCAGCTGGCCGGCATGCGCATGTGCGCTGGAGCTGAGCTAGGGTAATGCTCACGTGCCCACAGTTTTGCCATCATGGGCCTATGCCATTTCAGACAAAGGGTTGTCCAATCTCTTCTTGAGAACCTCCAATGATGGAGCTTTTACAACTTCTGGAGGCAAGTTGTTCCACTGGTTAATTGTTCTCACTGTCAGGAAATTCCTCCTTAGTTCTAGATTGGTTCTCTCCGTGATGAGTTTCCACCCGTTGCTTCTTGTCCTGCCTTCTGATGCTTTACAGATTAGGTTGACCCCCTCTTCTTGGTGGCAGCCCCTGAAATATTGGAAGACTCTGCTATCAGGTGACCCCTAGCCAGCGGTGAAATCCAGCTGGATCTATCCGGCTCGCGCGAACTGGTAGCACTGGTGGCTGGAGACTCTGCCCACCCGCCAGAACATCATTACGTCCTGTTTTTGGCCCTCTGCGCATGCACAGAAGAGGTGCACGCACGCTCTCATTCCCAAACTGGTAGCGAAGATAAGTGGATTTCACCGCTACCCCTAGTCCTTCTTTTCATTAAACTAGACATATCCAATTCTTGCAACCGTTCTTCATATGCTTTAGCCTCCAGTCCCCTAATCCTCTTCGTTGCTCTTCTCTGCACTCTTTCTAGAGTCTCCACATCTTTTCTGTATCATGCTGACCGCTACTTTTAAGTTTTCTGCATTTAATTTCAAAGGATGCCCTCATGTTTTAACATTGTAAAGGATGGCAAGAAAACGACAATAACCTCTTGGCATTATTATCTTGGCATTTCTAACAATTCCAAGTAAGACGTTTCTATTTTTTTCCCCCCAATTTTATAAAAAAAACAACTAAATGGCTGTTCACTGCTCATCAAACTCTTATTATGTAAGAGTTTTCTTTGAGGGAGATGGAGGATTCAGAAATGTGAATAAATAAATATTAGAGTTTTTTTTTTTTAAAAAAAAAACCCTTATCAATACATTGCAAATCTTTTCATTTAAATGTCCGTATTCTTCCAGAATTGGAAGTATTAACAAGTCGAAACGCTGCATTCCAGATGACAGAAGCTAAGGAAAGGTGTTGTATTCCTGGACCATAATTTAAAGAACAATACTTTAAAAAGTTTTCCCTTTTTAAAGAATCTGTGTGTCAGACTTCGATGCTATCTCAAAATAAATGAATTTTCAAACTGCCAATCTTTAAGGAAATCTTTTCTTTAATTGAGCACAGCCACCGGATCATGACTCGATGCGGACAAGACTGACCTTTTGCCCCCCAATCCCTCCCTTTCCGATCCCCAAATCTCTGTTTCTCATTGGCTATCTTCCAAGTCATTCTTCAGACTTCTTGTCTCGTCATTTCCCAGGAAAGTCTCCCCCCTTCATTTCCACGACAACCCGACTTCAAAGGGATTTAGCAGGCAAAAGTTCAGAGCTTATCTCTCTCTCTCCTCTGCTCTCTATGCCAGCGTCGAAACGCTGACACTGTGGTCTTGTTTGTTGAGGAATTCGCAGAGCAACCCTAGAGTAGCAAGGGTGTGCACATGAAAGCGACTGAGAGCAGTTGCAAATAATCACAGCCAACACAGAGATACACCGAGTTGTGTTTACTTTTAGGAAATAGTAATAAGGCACCGTCCAATAAACAGTCCAGGTCGTACACAGATAAAGCAGTAGATAGTAAAGCAATAGTCCAGGGATATTCCAATAACAAAGTCTTCTTACCAGTTGTTGTAGTCATACACAATAAACAGTATGGAAACAGTAGCAAACACAGCAAAGAGCAGTAACGATCAGGACAGAGCAATAATGATCAGCAAAGATCAGCAGAGAGAAATAATGGAAAATAGAGTGCATTGTTTTTCTAAGAATTGTCTTGTTCCTTTTTTTTTTTAATAAATCATTCTCTTTGCTTTGAGAATTTATCGGACATCCATCTGTGTTCCTAACAAAACTTGCGGGTAAAAAAAAACCTGTAACCTTTAAAACCAATATTTATTTTGTCCGGAGAACACTTTTAGATTTGTTTATGCTGATAAACATGTAGTCGGATGCAAGGCGAGCTTTTACTCCCTTACCAAGGATTTCATCCTGCTGAGCAAGACAAGACGGCAACTGCCAAAGCCATTTACTTATTAAGATTGTCCGTTGTGATGATTCGGCACAGAACCACACTTTTGATAGTGGGTAGGTAGGGACATTTCCACAAGAGTGATTTATGGCTTCTCGTGGATGGCTGGGCCTGCCTGCCCTCATTAGTGACATGTCACCACAGTAATGACAGGGTGATGCAGCTGTATTATCCAGCACTTCTGTGAAAATGATTGTAAGCCAGTATGCTGAGTAATTGCTGCTTGACAGTTTATGTATCCATCCATCCAATCATTTCCCTTTACCTCTAACATCAGTCTATTATCTGTTTTAACTATTATCTATTAACTATTATCTGTTTAACTAAGCTGGTTATCAAGACCAGCTGCCTGCAATTACTGCAGGTTCGAATCTCGCCAAGGCTCATGGTTGACTCAGCCTTCCATCCTTTCCAAGGTAGGTAAATTGAGGACCCAGTTTGTGGGGGCAATAAGCTGACTTTGTATAAATATACAAAAGTATGAAGGCTATTGCTTAACACCTTGTAAGCCACCCTGAGTCTCCGGAGAAGGGCGGCATATAAATCAATTTAAAAAAAAAAAAAAAAACTATATCGTTATCTATCTTTATCTACCAGTATCTATCTATCTACCAATCTACCTATCTACCTACCTATCTATCTACCAGTATCTAGCTACCAGTATCTATTTATCTACCAGTATCTATCTACCAGTATCTATTTATATATCAGTATCTACCAATCTACTTACCTATCTATCTACCAACCACTATCTTATCTATCTACCAATCTCGACCAGTATCTATCTATCTATCTATCTATCTATCTATCTATCTATCTATCTACCTACCTACCTACCATGTCTATCTACCTATCGTGTTTCCCCAAAAATAAGACCCTGTCTTATATTCTTTTGAACCCTGAAATAAGCACTTGGCCTTATTGCCATGCACTCAAAAGCCCGATTGGGCTCATTATCAGGGGAGGTCTTATTTTGGGGGAAACAGGGTATCTGTCTATGTCTGTCTATCTATCTATCTCTATCTATCTCTATCTATCTATCTATCTATCTATCTATCTCTATCTATCTATCTATCTATCTATCTATCTATCTGTGTCTGTCTATATTATAGACAGACACCGATAGATAATGATAGATGATAAAAGATAGATGATGATAAGAGAGAAATGATAGGATGGATGGATGGATGAGTGGACGAATGGATAGGCAGTCAAGCAGACAAGCGGGGAGGCAGGCAAACAGATATAGACTCTATATCATTATATATCTATCTATCTCTATCTCTATCTACCATTATCTATCTCTAGCTACCTCTATCTCTAAATCTCTATCTCAATTTCTCTCTATCTCTACCTACCAATCTCTCATCTATTGATCTATATCAATTTTATATAACCTGTCTGTGTCTCTATTTCCTGTCTTTATTTTTACAAATAATATTTATAAATAAATAACCATTAATATAACCGTGTGTGACAGGACTTGTGTGATCACGTCCTGCAGAAGAGAGTAACCAAGTTCAGGCTACTGCTCAGTACTCATAGGACAATTACCGTACATGTATGTTTTTTAAAAAAATATATATTTCAACAGCCCAGAATCGGTGACCTTTGCTGCCATCATTGTAACTTCATTGTTACAATAAAGAGCCTTGGTAGTACAGTGGTCTAAGGCACCCTGTTATTAAGCTGGTTATTAAGACCAGCTGCCTGCAATTACTGCAGGTTCGAATCTCGCCAAGGCTCAAGGTTGACTCAGCCTTCCATCCTTTCTAAGGTAGGTAAATTGAGGACCCAGTTTGTGGGGGCAATAAGCTGACTTTGTATAAATATACAAAAAGGATGAAGGCTATTGCTGAGCACATTGTAAGCCGCCCTGAGTCTCCGGAGAAGGGCGGCATATAAATCAAATTTTTAAAAAAATAAAAATTGTTGCAGGCAGTTATTACATTATGTTGGAAAGATGTAGAAGGCTGCAAAGATTCCTTTGCATTTTCAAATAATCTAAACGTCTGTAGCACTTTGCAAGAAGAGACAAAACTCCTTGGTTGAGCCTTGGGATTTCCTGGTGGTCTCCCATCCAGGCTCTACCAGATCCTTACAGGGTGCAAAAAGGCTCAAAGGTTTTCATACCTTTAAAAAAAAAGGGGGGGTTGCATTCAGGACAAAGTAAAACAACTATCTCTCAAGTTTGATTCCGCCTCCCACCCCAAGACTCCCACCCGCCTTCCATTCAGCAAATGCCGGTAAACTCCGCACCGCCCGGCTTTTTATACTCTCCGCCCCGCCCCTTTTCTTGCCAGGCTCCGCCCCGCTTCAAATCCGGCCTCTTCCATTATCGATCCTTGAAAGCGCAGGGGAGTCGGTCGGCTTTGTCAAGTCGGGGGTGGTAGAGGAAAGAAGGATTCCACGCACGCACACATATACATACATACCACGCGGCGTGAAGGGCAGAAGCACGTCTCTTTGTCCTACCGTGCGCCGCCTCAAAGGCCGGTCGAAAAGGGCTTTTTTTTTCCTTCCCCCCCTCTGAAGGAAGTTGGTACATTCCAGTCGAAGGAGGGAGGGAAAGGAAAGAGAAAAAAAAAAAAAAAGGAGGGACGGGCGCGCGAAGCCAGAAAGCGCTCGCTCGCTCGCGCGCGCTCGCCCCGGCGCGCAGGCGCAGGTGTCCCGAGAGGTGGTCTCGCGACCGCAAAGCCGCGGGGGGTCTCCCTCAGGGGAAGAGAGAGAGAGAAAAGGGAGCGCGCATGCGCGAAGAAAGAGCGCGCGCGCGAGAGAGAAGAGTCGCCTCAGCCCTTGTGAGGGGAGCGCGCCTGCCGGCCGCCTGAGGCGATAAAGAGAGAGAGAGAAAGGAGAGATGCCCGCCGTTCAGAAGACCGTGTCGGAGCTGCGGTCCAGGGCGGAGGGTGAGTGTGTGTGAGGCCGGCCACGGAGCGGGTTTGGAAAGAGCCCCGAGAATCCCTGATGTTGTGAGGTGATGTGAGGGAGAAAAGGCGCCTCAGCTGCCCCCTCAGCGCCGCTTCTCCTCCCCCAGTCAGTCAGTCAGTCAGGCGCTGAGGAGGCTCGCTTGGCCCTGAGGGGGAGGGGAGGGGGCTCCCCGGGGTGGGGGGGGTGGGGGGGTTGAACGCAGCCCCTTCTCTTTACCCGCAGCAGCCCCTGCGCTTTTGGCCCGACCCTTTTTCTCCCCTTTCCGAGCATCCTCCAGCCTTCCTTCTGGCCGCAGGCAGCAGGGCTGGAGGGGACCCTGGAGGTCTTCTAGTCTAGCCCCATCCCCCCGCCCAAGGCAGGAGATCCAACACCATTCTAAACAAATGGCTGTCCAATCTCTTCGTTTTTTTTAAAAAAAAAACAACCTATAAAATATAGAATAAAGCTGGCAGGATCCCAGGGGCTGGAGGGGACCCTGGAGGTCGTCTAGTCTAGCCCCCCCCTCCTGCCCAAGTCCTCATAGCATCTCAGACAAATGGCTGTCCAATCTCTTCATTTTAAAAAAAAAAAAACCTATATCATATAGAATAGAGCTGGCAGGATCCCAGGGGTTGGAGGGGACCCTGGTGGTCGTCTAGTCTAGCCCCCTATCCAAGGCAGGAGTCTTTTTGCCACCCAGGACAAATGGCTGTCCAATCTCTTCATAAAAGCCTCCGTTGATGCAATTTAGTACTTGTTCAGATGTCTCTTGATCCTAGGGTTGGAAGGGACCCTGGAGGTCTTCTAGTCAAGCCTCCTGCCCAAGGCAGGAGTCCTTATGCCATCCAGGACAAATGGCTGTCCAATCTCTTCATAAACGACTCCGTTGATGCAATTTAGTATCTGTTCACTCTGTGGTTCAGATGACTCCTGATTATAAGGCTGGAAGGGACCTTGGAGGTCTTCTAGTCCAACCCCTGCCCAAGGCAGGAGTCCTCATACCTTCCCAGACAAATAGTTGTCCAATCTCTTCTTGAAAACCTCCATAGATGGAGCAGCCACAACTCCAGGATGCAAAGCTGTTCCACTGATTGTTTTCACTGTCAGGAAATTCCTCCTTAGTCCTAGGTTGGTCTCCCTTTAATGAGCTTCTACCCATTGCTCAGGTCCTGTGGAGAATACATTAGTTTAGTTTAGTTTAGTTTATTTGATTTGTATACCGCCCTACTCCCGAAGGACTCAGGGCGGTGAACAGCCAACAATAAAATACATAAATACACAAAATTTAAAAAAAAAAAAAAACATTGATGCTCTCTTCCCTATGACAGCTCTTCAAGTATTGGAAGATGCTATTATTCTCTTCCTAAGCGTTCTCTTCAATAGCCTAGACATACCTTAGTTCCTTGACCCATTCATCATATGATTGAGCCTCCAGACCTTGAGCTATCTACAAAGGTGGGCCAAAACACACCAAGGTGGCCGCTGTGCCCCCAGCAAAGAAGGGAGGTCTTATTCTGGCAAGGCTGTCATTTTGACCGTTTTGACCATCTCAGATGCCCATCTTCAGTTGTCTGGCTCCTATAAAACACTGTGAGTCACTAATGGGAAAATAACCCTTGTGTCTTGGTGTCTGCTTTTGACTATTCCATCTTTTGGTCCTTCTGTTACCTGAATTGGGTTTCTTTTCCCAAACAACCAACAGCTCTTTCCCGATAATTGAATAGTCATCTGTTTCATGTAAATGCCAGTAATCACTAATGTTTGATGGTGGTCTTAAGGGATGGCAGCCCCCTGCTGGGGTGAGGAAACTAAGCAGGTCAGGATTGGATAGTCCTGAATGGATCTGAAGGCTGTAGAAATGGAGCTTGATTGAAAAACCTTTACCTTTTTACTTTAATTTTGTGTGATATCTCTATGTTTGTGGCTTTTGCTGTTTGCTAGATGTTTTCTGGACTATTTTATGTTACAAGGAAACAGAATAAGATTATGATAGAGTGACATTGAGGTGAGATTTGGTCATCCTAGGCCTGTGAAATGCTGATAAATACCTCCAGATTCCTCAATATCTGGGAATGTTGAGGTATTAGGAAAGATCTTTACTTAAATAAAAGGAATGACAGAATAGCCTAAAACAGATTTAAGGGAATTATTGCTCTTAGAGAATGATACGTCGTTAATATTTGAAGCTGAGAGATTTTGGCTGCTGAAACCTTTGATAATTTATGAGATATACAGCATCTCAGTTTATAAGGTGTATCTCTCCTTGTTTTAGCCTTGTTCTTACCCCAGGTTGTATCTGAAGTTAAAGGAATCCATATGAGGAGTGTATTATAGGGAGGACCATCCTGTAGCAGAAGATGAATGGAGAACCCTGGCTGTACACAGTGAGATTACATCTCATGGTCTCATGTCGTATTGCTCAGTTTTCTCTGCAGCATGAGAGGGAATAAGGGAAAACAACCCATTCTGGACTGAATCCCTTAGATTTGTGATCAAATGAGCAGCTCCTATTAGCCTACCTCCAAACCTCGTCAACGATATAATGCAATTTCATTCCAATATGAGGACTACCGGGATTCAGATTTAGATGAGCAGAAAGCTGTTCCTCTAAGAACAATATTACACTGAATAATGGAACTCTCTTGCCATATGGGGGAAATTTCGTAAATATTTACAGTACCTATTGTGATCAAAAGTATTAGAGAATTTATTTTCTTTTAATAATCAAACATCATAATTTCAGTTAATATTGTATATTTAAAATGAAATTAGATGCCACCATGCATTTTAGATATAGATTGTACTTCACTTAATTAAAATGTTATTCTACTTTTGGAGGGTTTTTTTAATTAGATTTTGTTTTCAATTTTTGGAGCTGAGTAAGCAAAACTTAAAAATCCAAACCAATCTTTCTTAATGTAAATAAGAAATCAATGAACAGTTCAGTCCTGTTCAATTCCAGCATTCCACTTTGACAGTAGAAGTTCAATTTGTCAAAAATAGCACTATACTAATTTGTATGTCTGAAATACACAATCAAGAGTTCCTAACGTGAAGTTTATTTTTATAGCCAGAACATCTGCAAGTGAAGGTTGCTTTCTTTTTGTTCTGCTGATGCAAGAAAGAGAAAGTTCTGTATGTATCTGCTGTAATACAGCACTAAGCAAAACATCGTGATAAAAGCTTTTGTTAATGCTTTATTCCACTATAACAGTGATGGTTAATCTTTTTGCCGTCGCATCCAAAAGCAGGAGGACCATGGGAGGGTCGCGTGCACGCGTGCTCCACCCCCCATGCATGTGCGCATGACCTCCCCACACGATGGCATGGTGGAGCCTGGGGAGGCCCGTTTTTCGCCCTCTCCAGGCTCCAGAGGCTTTCTAGGAGCCTGGGAAGGGCAAAAACGGCCTCCCCCACCCCGGAGGCCAGAAACGGCCCATTTGCCAACTTCTGGTAGGACCGGAAAACCCGAAAATCAGCTGGCACTGGAGCTGAGCTTGGGCAACGCTCACCTGCCCACCAATATGGCTCCGTGTGCCATCTGTGGCACACGTGCCATAGGTTCGCCATCATGGCACTATAAATATTTCTGCTGTATCCCTTTTTCTGCATAGAAGAAATATTTCTTAGCATTAATCAGATAAACACCTACAATCATCATTACAGTATTAAAAGATGTGAATATGCTTACATAATTGTGTAAAAGTATATTAATATATGGCTGAAACATTAGATATATATCTATTTCTGATAATAAATCTAATTAGAACTAATATAAGTAGAGTGCGTTTATTAGACTTTGTAAACTAATATATAATTTAAATTTTTCAGCAGACAGAAAAATATTCTGTTTATTAGTTTTACTAATGGCCCTCCTACTAGTTATTAGCATTAGTACCTAATGTTTATTATATAAGTAGAGTTGAGTGTATTACTATAGAAAGAATGCATCTGAATAAATGGTTGTAAGTTTTTGGTTTCATTTTTGTGAACGCGATTGAATATAGCATTTTAAATAACATGCTTTCCTTTGTTTTACCAAATTAAAAAACTCTAAAATAAAGCTGTGAAATATAAAATGCACATACTCATCATTTATTTTTAGTTTTACAAAAATGCCATTTGGGCATGTTCTATTAATTTTCTTCTTGAGCAATGAGGCTAATAAACCTTGCTTCCATCTGTTCTTATCAATCATGTGAGCCCCGCCATTGAAAGGAATAGGATACAAAGATTACTCAGAAGGCAAATGGGATCAGAAGTTACTTGTAACTCAGGCAGATTTTCCTTTTCAGAAGGACAAGGCTGTATAGTCATGATGGCGAACCTAAGGCACACGTGCCACAGGTGGCACGCGCAGCCATATCGGTAGGCACGTGAGCTCAGCTCTGGCACGCATATGCACGCCGGCCAGCTGATTTTCAGGCCTTCTGGACACACCAGAAGTAGGGAAACAGGTTGTTTCCTGCCTCTGGAGGGCCTTGGGGGGGGGCGTTTTTCTCTCTCCCCAGGCTCCAGAGCCTTTCTAGGAGTCTGGGGAGGGTGAAAATGGCCTTCTTCCCCCCCCCCCCCCCCCCGGAGGCCGAAATGGCCTGTTTACCAACTTCCGGTCCCACCAGGACGCGGCATAAACACAAACCAGTTGCCAAGCATCTGAATTTTGATCTTGTGGCCAGGCCAAGAGCCTTGATAGTACAGTGGTCTAAGCACCCTGTTATTAACACAGCTGCCTGCAATTTACTGCTGGTTCGAATCTCTCCAAGGCTCAAGGTTGACTCAGCCTTCCATCCTTTCTAAGGTAGGTGAAATGAGGACCCAGTTTGTGGGGGCAATAAGCTGACTTTGTATAAATATACAAAAGGATGAAGGCTATTGCTTAACGCATTGTAAGCCACCCTGAGTCTCCAGAGAAGGGCAGCATATAAATCAAATTAAAAAAAAAAACGGTCATAAGTTATTTTTTTCAGTGCCATTGTAACATGGAACAGTGACTAAATGA